GTTATATTCTTCATGAAGTTTAATTTTTAGTGCTTCGGCTGAAGGGAGTTCGTCTCTCGCCTCTATGGCGCATCTAAAATTCTCATAGCTGTCAGGAATGCTATAAAGTAATAAAATAGCCAGAAGATCCTCCGCGACTAGGATTTCCATTTCCTTTAGTTTATCGACTGTCCCAAAAAAGTTATTTAGATGATCCATCATATTTTCGCCATCGCGCATTTTCGTAAATAATAATTGTTTTAATAAAGTTGCTTTGCGAGCAGGTCCCTTCGAGTGATACACTTCCTCGAGTTTTCTCCAAACTTCGTTCGATGTGACAGAATATTTGACGTGACACAGTTCGGATGGCGACATTGACAAAATAATGTCTGCTCTAGCTTTTGAATCAGCTTTGTCCCAAGCTGCAATTGCGGCGACGTTAGGATTTTCTTCGACAGCTACTGGCCTGGCAGTCGTTCCGTTTACGTACGGCCAATAATCATTTTTGATCAGGATAGCCTCCATCTGGAGCTTCCATGTGTCGAAGTTCTCTTTACTTAATTTTTCGATTTGCACTGTGTGTCCTGACATTATTGTTATTCGAGTTAAACAACGTTTTATTATTTAAGAAACACAAGGCTAATAATCGCTCATCAACGTAAACAGACACTTTATTTTTAGGTTAGCTTTTGAAAAACAAACACAGCTACACTCGCGCTATGCTCGGCAAAACACGGAAGTTTTTCGAAACTAGCGAAAATTTGCATCAGCCACGCTCGACAAAACCGGAAATTCGTTTTTGAGGTTAGCTTGCAAGCGTCTTACGCGATTGTGATTTTACACCTTTCATATTCACAAATCCGATCATTTCACGAACCACTTATTGCAGTGGAAGAGTCCTGGTTACATAACCTGATGTTAATAATAAGATAGAATTATTTTAATTCACGTTTATTCGTGTGAACGGTTTAAACAAAATACAATAGTCTGATTTACATTGCGTGCAAATATTAACTGAATAGTTCTAATCAAATGAAAAGGTGGCGCTTTAATTAAGAGCCCGTGGTGACATCTTTATTAGCGGGAACAACATTAAATAAATTCTGGTTCCTCATAAAATACTATTTTTAAATATTTAAAACTCAATTTGTTTTAAATTGGGCACGTAAGCTGATTTTAAAACCTATTGAGAAAAGTTTTTTATTCATCTTAGAACCATAATCAAAAAGAATTTTTAAGTGCCAATTCATTTTTATTTAAACCTCTTTCTGGCGCACCGTGATAGGCGACATTTTAAATTTTTCTTTTATCAGAATTCAGTAAAAATTGTTTTAAACTTTTTATTTTCAAATATATTTAAAAACTTCAATTGACAAAACTTACTTTAGGAATAAAGTGTACTAAACAGGAGTGCAGGGCTCGGCACGTAGAAGAGCATTCTTTCTTATAGAACTGCGTGACTAATTTTGATTTTGATTGTAAAGCCAATCAAATTGAGTTGAATAGTTTCTACTTAGCAGGATGTCTAACAGTCAGGGAAACTCTCCAGGTCAGGAAAAACCCATGGAATTGATTTTTTGAATGGAAAAGTCATGGAATTTATTTAAATTGCTGGAATTTTGTAACAAATTATCAAAATTATAGCAAAAACACAGCCATGTTAATTTATGCTTCAGTTTCAGTAAAAATAGGGTAGAAATTAAAGTGGTGCCGTTTTTCCTTTATTTTTACGTAAAACTAGAGCAGAAATTAAAATGCCGAAGTTTTTTTTTTAATTTTTCGTGAAACTCGGGTACAAACGGCGCGAATTTATTTTCTGCTATAGGTTTACGGAAAAAGTAGAACATTAATTAAAATTGCGCCGTTTTTGCCCTAATTTTACGAAAAAATTGCAGTACAAAATGAAATAGCCGCGTTTTTGCCATATTTTTACGAAAAAATAGAGCAAAAATGGCGCCACTTTTAATTTCTGCTTTAGTTTTTAGTTAAAATAGAGCAGAAACTAAAATGGCGCTGTTTTTACTCTATTTTTTGCGTAAAACTAGAGCAGAAATTAAAATTTCGACGTATTTGTTTTAATTTTTCGAAAAAATAGGGTACAAACAGTGTCAATTTGAAAAAGTAGAACCGAAATTAAAATTGCGCCATTTTTACTCTACTTTTTGCGTAAAAATATTTCAAAAACACGTCTATTTTATTTTTGCTGTAATTTTTTCGTAAAAATAGGCTAAAAACGGCGACATTTTAATTTCTGCTCTAGTTTTACGGATAAACAGATAAAATTTTCGTAGTAAAAATAACATTTAGGCGAAAACACTAAAAATTCCACTAGAGAAGAAAAAAGATACTAAATTTCCTACTAAAATATTTCTCCCACTAAAAATTTTACTGAATAACCAAAATCTTACTAAATTTAGTGGGAAAACCACTAACTTGGCAACACTGAGAGAAAATATGACAAGATGTAAAACGAGAGAGAGAAGTGAGGTATATAAGAAAAAGAATAAAAAAAAGACGGGAAAGTCCCGGGATAAGAGAAAGCAATAGAGGAAAGAAGAGAAAGGGGTGAGTCCAGATTCTGGTCGTAGATCATCGTTTTTTTCGAATTTATGAGTACACTCCTGTCGTAGTGAATTACTAAAGGCAATTTACCTACACGCTGCTCGCTTCGTAAAGCGTCAAAATGATTTTTTTTATATGAAAAACGTTTCAAAAACCTGATAAAGTTTTCTTCGTCTTTTAAAACAACATTCAATGTATTTGTAACAAATATTTTTCCAAATAATTTATTAATTATTAATTAATAATATGTAACATAATTTTTTTTTTTAATTTTTACATAAAATTTTTAGTAACCGAATTTTTACATAACAACATTTTTAGCAACCGAATTTTGCTTTGACAGAATTTTTATTTTATAGTCATTTTCTTTACATGACTTTTTTAAAAATAATTTTAATTTAAGAAAATTTTAATTTAATACAATTTTCATTCGATCAAATTTTATGTAATTCGAATTTTTAAATGACAGAAATTTTAATTCACCGAATTTTAATTTGTCCAAATTTTGAAGTGATAGAATTTTTAAGACGCTGACTTGTAATTTCGAACAAATGAAAATTCAGCGTTTTAAAAATTCTATTAATTAAAAATTCGGACAAATTAGGGTACGGTCACACTATCTCATGCATGCATTCAGAAACATTTGGCCGGTCACACTTCAACGAAATCTAGTGATTGTTTAGTAAATTTCTAGTAATTTTCCAAAAATTTCGGTTGTAACTAGAAAGTTACTAAACATTCACTAGATTTCGTTAAAGTGTGACCAGCCAATTGTTTCTGCATGCATGCACAGTGCATGCATGAGATAGTATGACCGTACCCTTAAAATTCGGTGAATTGGAATTTCTGTCATTTAAAAATTTGAATTACGTAAAATTCGATTGAATGAAAATTCGTTTAAATTAAAATTCATTTAAATATAAATTCTTTTATAGATCCGTTTTTAATCAGTTTCAACCGATTTTTTATGTAAGATTCTGCTTTCCAAAGTAAAAACTCAAGTCGCTTTTCCATAAGTTTGAAAATCGATTGTAATTGCCAAGCGATTTTCACCCTTACGAAAAAGTGACTTACTAGATTTTTACTTTGGATAGCAGAAGTACAATATTTATAAAAGTACATTATTTACAGTAGTATATTATTTATATAGAAAATAATTAAAAAACAAAAAATTCTCTAAAGACTACTTTTTACAAAAATCCCTAGAATAGAAAAAACAATATAATGTAAAACTTTTTTTGAATATGATTTCAAGAGAAATTATTAATGATTTTGATTCTATAAATTGTGGGTAAATATTTGAAGCAAGGAGAGAGGGAGAGTCTGATGTAATAATGTGTGAGGTTCTGTGTTGGAAGATGGGATAGGAGGGTGTACAATCGTAATTGACGGACGTGGATAATTAATAGCAACCTGTTGTCGCTCGACAGACTATATCTAAATGCAAGAATAGTTATGGTTGCCTTGTGAACAGGTCAAATTACACAACCTTTGAGTATGAACTCGGAATACACAGCAATGTCCTGACAAAAATGAAAAGCTTTTTTTTTTATTATATTTAAATAATAGTCACTCGGCTGTTGAAAACAATGATTTTTTCTTGTATTTCAAAACTATACAACTCTTTTAATTACATTTATTTTTTTTCTAAATTAAGGTAAATGGACCCAAGAATGTCCTAATTAGTTGTTTTTAAAATATTCGAAAAAATTCCAGGTGAAAGGAATAAATTGCGAAACAGTTGGGAGGTAAAAATGATGAATAATTTCTTAAATGGTCGCCAAGAAGAAAATTCTTAAGAGTATCGTTTTTTCGATGTAGTTTCGGATCTAAAAAAAACGTAATTAAAAATCAAATTTAATTCAAATTAAAATACGAAACGATATTAAAAAAATATAAGTAAATGAATTTTTCCTAACTAGTGACATACACGCTGTATGTGTGATAAAACGCTTGAAATTATATAAGCATTTTAAAATTTGCACAGGACTCTTTTTCTGGCTCTGCACTCTCAAGTTTAATGTACCCATGGAGTTTAATTATGTGACATTAAATTTAACGTGCTTACACGGAGAAATCTCTATACATACATATTAAAAAAATCCCCGGGAAAAATGGAAGACGTCTTTTTTTCCCCCAAAAAAAAAGTGATAAACAGTTTCGAGAGTTTGTTTGAGAATCGGTATGAGATTATTCTATAAAGAAGAAGAGGGTGGTTTTTTTTAAAAAACAGTAGATATTTCCGAAATTGCCTCATATACGATTTTATATTTCCCATAAAATCTGTACATGCACAAAGTACTCTTCTGACAGAGTGAAGTCATAAAAAGCACTATTCTTTTTTATCCTCTTGTCGCGGAAAAATAAACGAGCTGTGTGAGTTTAATAGACTTTTTGCTAGAACTCTCATACATAGTAATTTTTTTTTAAAGTTTAAGACAGTAAACCATAATAGGTGCTCCTCTTTTGTCAACGCCTTTTTTTCGAAAAGATCTTTCGGATTTGGGTTCTGACCTCAAAAGCAACGAATGAAAGCAACTTTTTTTTTCAAAAGGTACTCACTCAAAAGCCGTACACGTGTAAATATTCTTCTTCTTAAAAGCTCATTTGACTCCCTTACCTGAAACAAAAACAAAAATTTCTTTTATCAAAGTCTGACAACTGCCAACCATTAATAAAATCAACATGGATTTAGTGGGTGAAGGGGCAGGGGGGGAAGAAAAAAAAAGAAAATTCTGAAATAAAAGAGAAACATCTTCATGACTTAAACCCCGTTGTCGTGCGACAAATAAAAAGAAATAGTTTAAGTGCAATATCAAATACAATATTTCCTGCTCCATCCGACACCTAAAATCCCTCTTAAGCGACATAATCCACATCAGAAAACATCTCAGCATCAGACATATATTCAGAAATTTCCCTCAGGCGAAAAGCGCAGTTTCGCTTAGGACTTTAAAAGTTATGCGTAAGCTTGGAAAATTATGGATACACTTAGAGGATTATGTGCGCGTTGTTACACCTCTCACAATGCATGTAAAAGAGGCTTAAAAAGTATAACACCAAAACAAATGTTTATCATATACATATTTGTATATATTTATATATTAGTGATAAAAAAGGACTATTATTGTCATTTTCAAATTTCCAAAATCTTCCCTGAAGTCTTTGGGATGGTTTAATTCATTTGACTTCGAAAAACATACTTAAAATTAAAATTTATTCGATTCAAATAATCGCGCAATTGACCATTATATAAGTTTATTTATATTTTTGATGGATTCACATCTTTATTTGTAAAATATTTATTTCAAAAAATGTTAGCTTTATGTTATTTAATGCTTCATGCAAAATATTTATTTTTTAAATAATATTAAATTTCATTTTCAAATTAGAAAAATTAACCAATAAAGAAAGGTGTCTACACTTGAAGTTAGCTGTAAATATCTGATGGAAAGTATGTCGTCAGTTTTGACCAATAACAATTCATAATTTTGAATTCTACCAATAAGGATAGGTGTATACACTTGAAGTTAGGCAATTACACGTCTCGTTTGTATTGTTGTAATTAGTTTTTAAATTACATTAATATTCTCAAAAACTTACATAAGAAGGGGGAGGGGGTCCGAAAAATCTGATGTACCCTTACATGGGGGTAGGGGTGGTCATAATTAGCCAAAATCGTCCTTACGTAATATTAATGAATGGGCCCTTATTAATTTTTCCTAATCTAAGAACTTATAACACAGCCCCACAAAAAAAAAAAGTGTCGTGCGCGGCAGACCAGACTAGTCATTTCCCATGTATTTTGACGCGCTGAACACGAATCCGAAGTCCGTTTTGCTCCATCACGTCAGGATTTTTTTCTAACCTCCAAAAACCTGTCGGATTTTGAGAGGTAGGCTATTTTTTTTAAAATTGATGGATTTACTTCAAAATTGGTATCTAGGGGTTTTTTGGGTCGCTGATGACGAATTTGAAGTTAGATTTTCAAAATTCAAAATGGCGGCTCCAATATGGCGGATGAATTTTGTAAAAATTGATGGATTTACTTCAAACTTGGTATCTAGGGGTTTTTTGGGTCGCTGATTACGAATCTAAAGTTAGATTTTCAAAATTTAAAATGGCGGCTCCAATATGGCGGACGATATCGACCCTTCAAAGGTGATAATTCCGCCCTTACACACGAAACTAGGAGCAATTAAACAGTTTGTCAAAGCCTTAGATAAAAAAGGAAACTGTTTCAAATACCTGGAACAAAAGTTTCCAGAAATCTCTGATGCGAAACTAAAAGAAGGGGTTTTCGATGGACCACGTATTCGCAAATTGTTAAAAGATGAGCAATTTATCACCAAGATGAATAAAAAGGAGAAAGCCGCATGGCTTAGTTTTAAAGCAGTTGTCGAAAATTTTCTGGGTAATCACAAGAGTGAAAATTGGGAGCAAATAGTGATATGATTAAAACCTTTGGTAAGTTAGGATGCTTAATGAGCATAAAGTTGCATTACTTAGACTCGCATCGGGATCAATTCCCTGAAAATTTGGGAGATTACAAAGAAGAACAAGGAGAACGATTCCATCAAGATCTGAAAGAATTTGAGCGTCGTTATCAAGGAAGATGGGATGTAAATATGATGGCCGACTACTGTTGAATGCTGAAAAGGGATATTGTACCTGGAGGCACCAATTTGAAAAGAAAACCATTACACAAATCCTTTGAGGACAAAAGAGTGCGCTACCATAAAAAGACGTGAATACCTTACTTATGTATATAAGAATTTTCATTTCTAGTTTTGAAAATCTAACTTCAGATTCGTAATCAGCGACCCAAAAAACCCCTAGGTACCTAGTTTGAAGTAAATCCATCAATTTTTACAAAATTCGTCCGCCATATTGGAGCCGCCATTTTAAATTTTGAAAATCTAACTTCAGATTCGTAATCAGCGACCCAAAAAACCCCTAGATACCAAGTTTGAAGTAAATCCATCAACTTTTACAAAATTCGTCCGCCATATTGGAGCCGCCATTTTGAATTTTGAAAATCTAACTTCAAATTCGTCATCAGCGACCCAAAAAACCCCTAGATACCAATTTTGAAGTAAATCCATCAATTTTTAAAAAAATAGCCTACCTCTCAAAATCCGACAGGTTTTTGGAGGTTAGAAAAAAATCCTGACGTGATGGAGCAAAACGGACTTCGGATTCGTGTTCAGCGCGTCAAAATACATGGGAAATGACTAGTCTGGTCTGCCGCGCACGACACTTTTTTTTTTTGTGGGGCTGTGTAATTATTCTCTACTCGAATCCCTCAATTTAACTTACAATTAGTTAAAGAAACCAAGTTGGGGAGAGGTTATTAAATGAAAGAACAAAATGATAATTAAACAAAAGATTATTTATTTATTATTAGAATGATATTTTCTTGATAATTAATAATTGTTCGAAAGTACAATCATAATCCTTTTTTATAAGGTTTTGTATTATTATACCTTAATACATGTATTGATGGGTCTCCAATTATCTTCTTATAACACCTGGTCTTCTAAGATTGAATCTTCTATAAAAATTTTACGACCGCTCGTAAAAGTTGTTCTTATTGCTGGATAGACACTGGTACCCACAAAAACTTAAACTTTTGACTGTTGACACTAGCGTATATATATTTTGGAACTGCCTTCAATGTGAAAGGTTTTGCTTTATAAAGAAACATTTTTGTATGTGAATATTTCGGTGGGATAAGCTAGCCTATGAAGATTTTTTTCGGGACCACACAGTCGTAAAAAGTGCTGATGACCTTATTTTTAGTAGTAGTGGCTCACGTATTTTCACAGAAAATTAAAAGGCATTAAAATAAGCTGCAACGCTTATTATTTTAATCTAATTTTGCTTATTTTAATACCAAAATGGATTAAAATAAGCAAAATTGGTTCAAAATAATATGCGTTGCAGCTTATTTTAATGCCTTTTAATTTTCTGTGTTAATTTCCGTATTTGAAGATTGTCTTTCACAACATTAACGATCAAGAATATAACATTCTTATATAATTTAAGAAAATTATCTATTTTCACATAATGACTATATGAATTAAACATGATTTTAACATTCATATTATATGTTTTAACATTCATTTATATTACATTACAATATTAATTGCATGATTAATTGTTATGAACATTTATTTTTAAACATAATTATTTGTTTTCATGTTTAATATTTATAAATAATTGTTTACTTAAAAGTATTTGTTTTATTTGCATAATAATAAGTTTCAAATCATTTCTAACAATTTTTAAAAATGGTCGCTATATGGTTCCACGATTTTGAATTTTTAAAATTATTAACGTAATGTAAGGAAAGCGAAGAAAAGAAATAGATTGCTGATTAGGTTAGGAGAAAAACTTAGAAATATATTTAATGAATGAACAAGAAAAGTGGATTTAAATGCAGAAGAAGTTGAAAAAGGTTTAAATAACATAAACAATAATTTCTCCCAATCAGCAACAAATTTTGTCGAGCTTTGTTTTAGATCGCCGAAAATTGATGCTGCGGGCGGGTAATTACTCCATCTATGGCAAGAAAGTCTAGATACCAACACTATGAGAATGATCATTGGGATGTGGCAAGGTGAGTTGAGACGCATGTAAATATGTATGGGATAATGAACACAGCACAATTCTATGCAAATTTGGTACTAAGGGTGGGAAACTCCTGGATCGGTACTTGGGGACGATAGTCGCCGCAGCTCGAACCGGGCAGTTTAAATTTAACTGTCAGAGAGCTTAAGTGCTCTCCCATGCTCTTGCGAACTAAGTGACTGTGAAAGTGGATCTCGAGCACGTATGCATCCCGTAACTTCCCCCCTCATCAAGTAACGCTTGTCATTAACGGCTTTCATAGTCACACACGCACTCATTATTATGCATTTGTCCATTAGCACTTTTTATTTCTTCATTCATTCGAAAATTTAACATTACTGATCTTTCGTTTAATTATGTGACTTTAAGATTTAATGTTATAAAAAAATTTTGAATAATGACAAATTCCACTGAAAAAATTATATTCTTTTAAAATATCTTCTTGGCGCCTATTTAAGAATATTTCCCACGTTGGAAAAGTTAGAATATAATATTCTTAAAATAAGAAACGTTTCTTAAATTAAGAATATTTTCGTAATTTAAGAAACATACTAAATTATTTTCAATTTTTTGTGGCCTTGTGTAATTGCAGTGCATTTAGTGTTTGATTGTAGTAAATGTGTTGTGGTTATACGTCATCCTTTCTCAGTTATAGTCATTAATCGACCTGAATCGATAACTTCCAATCGATTGGCTGACCAAAACCACTCAGAACTACTTACTCACTTACTTTAACATTACTCTCTTATAGATAATTTAACATCAAAGCTTTCGTTAAATTTCTAACACTTGTAAACAATATAATTTTTTTTTAATTTCCACATTTGAAATCCCTTAATGAAAATTGGGAAATTTTAATTTCAATATTCTTAAAATTATTTAATATGAATATAATACAATAATATAAATATATAATTAATATATTAATTAATAATTAGGGATCAGTGAATTCTTAACAAATGAATGAATACAGACTGATGAATAGAA